ATGAAAATGAAAACTGCGCACAACGGCCAAATGTTAAAAGTTACACGAGGCTGTCGTCAGAGGGCGCGCTTACGTCACAAGCATAACAGCATGCCTGACCTGGCGGCGGCTGCTGCTTTACATAATTGTAACAGCTGATCGCTGCTGCTAATGCAAGCATCTACATTCTGAATGGAAAATTCCGTTACGAAAGCAAAAAGGGATAACAGTGCACTGGAAAATGGCACAGTGGGTCGACATTGTTGCAATACGCAAATTGTCAAATTGATAAATTGCACACAAATGTCAGTCCTAATTGAATTGCTTATGTTATTGCAAGTATTATTATGACGATGATTTCCATTGTTATTGTTATTGTTATTGTTATGGCTATGTGGGGCTCTATTGCTGTTTGTGCCACCAGCAGAGTAACCTAATCAGGCTCAGCAACAGCTGCTCGTGTTTTTGCCGTGTGCCGGGGCCCGAAATCAACGGGCAGCATCTACAATTTACGTAGTACACATAGGCCGGCCCCGGCCCAGGCCAGCCCAGCCCCAAGCGACGTGTGTGATAAGGCTGAGTCAGTATTATTATTATTTTTTTTTTTGCGCCAGCCACTCGAATCAAATCACACACACACAAGTTGCTCAATCGGGGCCTGAGCATGCCGTCAACGTCTGCCCAGCCAACAAGCCAGCTCGACCGCCTGCTTGGGGGGCGTAACCTTGAACTTGCTGCTGCAGCTGGTGTCCCCTCCCTTAATCCGCTACTGCATCATCAGCATCATCATCATCATCATCAGCATCATCATCATCATCGCCAGGGGTATCAAACTTTTTATCAGAATACATTGAGACGCATTTCGCACATATCAGCTTACTACATTATATTGTGACTGGCGATTATTTGATTGTGAACCCGGGCATGTCATAGCAGCGAGCCCAGCTCATCGGGCCCCGGTCCCGGGGACACAAAGTATCAGTTTTACTATATGCTAATTTCGGATGCTCAACTCAAAAGTTTATTAGAGCTAAATTAGCCTACTTTCTGTTAAGACGTATAATTTATGAACTATTCTATTGGGGCCATAATCACATTATAGTTATAGTTATATAATGAATCAACACTTACCATGTGCAACATTGTTGATGCAGTCCAGATAGCGTACGCCCTCCTCATCGAACATATATTGACCCTGGCCGCGTACGATCTTCAATGGATCCGAGCGATAGAAGAGCTTACAGGCTTGACTGCATTTTATTTCGTATTTTGTTGAAAAGAATAAAATAAATGTGAAATGTTTAAAAATATATTCTAAATCGAATTAATCGCAAGCAAGTAGGTTCTATATATATATAGGCGTTTAGCTGGATTATCTATCTATATGGCTTTTGGATGGGGACAACCGGGGCCTAGGTCCAAATTCAACAAAGTCGTCATCACAGCTACAGCCGCTGATACGTAGAATATGACGACCTGTACTGGAAGACTTGGGATTATCGTTTATGTACATTTGTACTTAAATGAAGAATTGCGCTATTTGGACGGCTTCAGGCTGTGGCTCTTGTTGTTGAGCAGCAAATCGATAAAAGCCAAAAATAAATACCGCTACTTGCGGCGCGAGTGTTTGGCAACAGCCAAAAATGCGAACTCGTCTCTTGGCCCGTTCGTCATTGTTGTCGTTGTTGTTGTTGTTGTTGTGGGGCGAAAGAGGCGAACACAAGCACAACCCAACGGCTGCAGCTACACAACGGATGAGTGTGCTGCATGGGGATGCCGTTAGTTGACCTTGACAGCGAAATTGTTTAACGCAAGGTCTACTAATTGTGCGCATAACATAAGTGCAGCTGCATATGCATATGCATTGCATTGCATAGCTTAACATAACATAACGTAAGGCAGCATAACGTAAGGATGCTAGTTATACGCCAGCTTAATTATATTGTTTAATTGTAATTATGTATATGGATTTAATTTAATACGCACCCAATGTGTTTGTTACGTAGTTTAATTGTCTCCGCCTTGGACAGCTGCTGGCTGGCCACGCTTTGCACTTGTTCACTTGCAAACGGCATTTTAAATTTTTTAGCTAAATTGTTAATAATATTATTATTTAAATGCGAGACTTGAGCGCGCGCACTTTGAAAAGTTGAACTGTTCCGGCAAGGATTACGAGTCAACTGAATTGAATTGAAGGCTGTGTATGTCGGTCTGACTGGCAGGCACTGGACGCCTTTAACGTCTTTGGGTGCTTAGAAATTGTCGCCGAATGACAAATTTTATGTGAGAGTAGAGCTATTTTATAACCAGCCCACTGCCATATACAATATAATATTATATATATACATATATATTGTATCTGTATGTATATACATATGTGTATGCCTCTGCTGATGTTGTTGCTTTTGTTATTTGGCACTGTTGCCGTTGCTGCCGCTGCTGCTGCCGCCGCTGCTGCTGCGGCTGCAGCTACACCGTTAAGAGACTCAATATTCCTTAATTGTGCCGCTGCTACTGCAGACGCTGTTACTGGCTGGCGCGCTCAGTTGCTGTTACTGTTAAGCGTAGCGCTGGCCAATGTATGCGTGAGTGCATGTACATACATATGTAAGTGTAGCGGCAACACACACGTGACTAGCACCTCTCTTGTTCTCGCTCTCATTCTATAGCCGCTGGCTGTGTGTGTGAGTGTCCGCTTGGTGTCGGTGTGATAACAGCAGCCAGCCGACAGAGCGTAGCGCAACGTGCGCTGAACGGGAACAACAACAACAGTCACAGCAACGACAGCTGAGCCGAAAGTTAGCCGAGTAGGAACTTTGTTGTTGTTAGAGATGCTCGCGTGCGTGATGCATGTGCTATAGTCATAGTCATTCAATAATGTGATGTAATATTTATGTATTATTTTAATTATTTATATAACTGCTTATATAATAATGTTTAAAGGACATATACCCCTACATGTTTCCTGTTTGTTTATTAAATTAAGATGTACATTTATAATATGTCATGAATATATAATATCGGCCTAAAAGTATGTTATAATTAAAATATGAATATATGTAATAATTTGTATATTTACATACTGTGATTTGTAAATATTATACATCATTAATTGCTACAACTAACTAAGATAATTGTACTGCCGATTTGTTTATATGAACGAGACGATGATTAATTGCCAAAAAATCACAGCTACTTCGCTGCACACTCACACTGACAGACATATATATGTATACTTCGAAATTCGTCTAAGTTCCGTTACATTTGGTGTGACCAGCTGATGCAACTGTGGAAATACTCTTAACAGCGCCAGCAAATACCAGCTTACAAATTTCAAATTGCACTATTTTTAATTATTGCAATTATTATTTATAAATGTTATTGCATTTGACTGTTGTAATCTTATAATAATGTACACTAAAGTATAACTAGGTAGGTAACAAATTATGTAAGTCCAGCATAATTAACTCATTGTAATTGCAGCATATTATTAACATGCGTCTGAAACTCGGCCGTGCCCTCCTCCAACGGCAGCACCATAATGCGGTCCAGCAGCTGCCATGTTATGAGCGGCTGGATCAAATTGTCTTTGCACACATACGCCGGAATTTTGAGATCAAAGCTGCGGCAGTGCCACTGCGGCTTCATTGGCGGAATGCAAATGCGGTACACAACTTTATCGTTGTCCTTCAGATTCTGAGGATCAACGGGCTTTGCATTCCGTTTGGCTTTTATTGCGCGCTTTGCGGCAGGACGGATTCGCTTACGAGGCGCTGCCTTGGGTAACTCTAGTGGAAGCGGAGTTGACTCCGGCATGCGCTCATTGGCGTTGTACTTCTCCCTCCACTTCGTCTCCAGTTTACACATCGCCTTTTCCTCATTTGCGCTTAGATTAACCGTTGAATTAATGCGCAGATAATGCAAAGTATCCGTTATCACATCATTAAAAAAACTGCGCGACTCGGGAATCCAAGTAGGACTCATGACAATATTAGTCTTTTTACGTTTACTCATTGTGCTTTGTCAAATCGTCAAGAAATACTCGAGTTGGCGTAATATTATTGCTGTATGCTTTTCGATTCTAGTTAATCTCGCGCAGTGTGTGCACACAATCTTTGAAATATTTTACACTTTTTGCCTTTAAAGGTGTTGCCACCACGCTTAACATATCCGTTAAACGGATAAAAATTCGCATATGTACATATGTATGTATGTAAATAAAGAGCTTTTAAGTACCATTTGATTTGCTCATCTAAAGATGCATAATAACAATGATAAAGCATTTTAATATGAAGTACAATGACGGATCCTTTTGTAGCCATTTGTGGCAACAATTAATAACACTAAGATTTATTTTCGGCGACTCATATTTATAAGATCGAAGCGTTAAAGCGGCGACCGCACTATGTCATACAGTAAAACCAATACACAAAAGAAGCAACACCAGCATCCACTAACACAAAACAATATCCCAAGGTAGATTTGAAAAATATATAAATTGTATAATTAAAGTAAAGGAGCGCGCGATAATGTTACGCCCCAAACGGAGCAAAAGAAGAGGTGAAGTGAGTGCGGAGCAGGCGTGGCAGGGTCATAAAAACAATAACAAAATAAATGACAACAAAGAACATTTATCTATGGCAAGCCGACTCTGAAATACCCTTACCGACATGGGCAAATTTGAATGTGTTTACGATATTCACTTCTCTAACTCTTTCTCTTTAATCCTCTCTAGGTCTTTCTCTCTTCCTATGTCTCTGAGTAGCATTATTGATGAGCTGCATACTCAAAGATATCTTATCTCCTGTGTTTGATACCCCTTGGCCATATACCTCCTGTAAGGGTATAGCGAAAAACCACAAAATCTAGCAAATGCATTTACGACTTGTCGATGAGTCGTGGGATCGTGGGATTCGCTACAGACAGCTAAACGCGTCGCCCAACATTTCTAAGCAGTTCAGTTGCTCAATTATTGTTGCTGGTTTCGGCTATTCGGTTGTTCAGTTGTTCGGTTGTTCGGTTGTTCGGCTATTCAGTTGTTGGGCTTGAGTAATGAGCACTGTCCGTCGACATGTTCGCAGTGCCGTAAAGGCGTTCAAATTAGTTGTAAAATCAGCCCGCACGATACATTTCATTTAATAACAGTTCGGACTTGTTTCTTCTTGCGAGAGTATATAATGCACACACGATGTCCGAATGAGCCACAGTCATCCGTCAACACCGTTCCAGTGAGCTCGTATAACTCCTACTCAACGAAACCTACAGTCCCAAAATGGCAAGTCCTTAAGAAAAGTGTGATCAGTCGGAATACCTCAGCTCATGAGGTCATAACGAATCTTGGAATAACAATAATAATAATAGAAACTCCCAACTGGTATCTTTCTGATCTGAATCCCTCTCTGTAGCACTCCATTTCTGCAATGGCTTTGATCGCTTCTCTGGCGCTGTGCGCCGCTGATGTCTCTCATTTGCCCCTCTCCCGGAGCTACTTGCCTCCGCTCAGTGGTGCCGGCGGCTACTCGGCGTACTCCTCGTATCCCTCGTACACGGGCAACTCCTACTCCAGCGGTGCCTACTACCCGAGTTCCCGCCTCGGCTCTGGGTACAACTCCGGCTACAGGCCCGGCTACAACTCCGGTCTAGGCTCTGGCTATGCTGCTCCGCTGGTCACCGCTGGCTACAACAGCTATGCAGCTGTGCCGCAGTACAACACCTATGCCACGCCCACACGCACCTATCTGCCAGCCCTGATAGGTTACTCGGGTGCTGGCTACTCCGGCTCTGGCTTAGCAGGCTCTGGCTACAGCGGCTTGGATACTAAATATGCCTCCAACGGTGGCTATATCTATTAGGAGACGATCTCAGGCTTTGCTTGGAACATCTTCAAATATGTCTCTCTACATCTAGTGTATATATTATATAAGTTTTTTTTTTTTCAACGCGTAATTAATAAACAATTCTATTATTCAATTAAACATAGTCTAACTTTTGGTTTCCGATCAATATTTAGCTATGAGCTATGATCATAGATAAGCTTATGCTATAGATAGTATCTGTGATTAAATGCAGTTTAATTGTAGATTCGACTTTCACTATTTTAAGTGCGTATAACTGTGAAGGCACTGTTTGTTAAACATAAATTGTACAAATATAAATACATATATAAATATATAACACGCGTAAGTGTAGACAACATTTAGAAACTATTAGTTAACAACTTTTTGGGGGTGATTGTGGACCGAGATGAGGATCACTTATGGTACAAGTCGTGCATGCACATCATCGCTTGCGTCATCTCCCCCGTAGGGCCCGGCTGGGAAGGCATCATCCCCAGAGCCTGGTACCAGGGCGTTCGAGCCTCGGCGTTCTCCTCCCCGTTCATTGACCAGCGAATGTATTCGGCTCGACTAATTGATTGAGTGAGACGGGAATAACGTAGATAAGAATTAGTATTATATTCCTATAAATATATATAAATCTTGTCACTCACTCTTGTGTTTTCGAGCGGAACCTGCGTAGCCATTTCGCTGCTCTGTGCTTGCCTTTGCTGCAGGAATCTCTGCAGGATTTTGGGTACACCGAACTGAAGGGGTTCACGCCCGGCCGTATAAGGAGCTGTGCCTGTCGCTGTCGTGTGGGTGTGTGCGCTGATGCCTCTGCTGCTGGTGCTGCTGCCGGAGTCGCATACCAAGTCCACTTCGTTGCCGTCTTCCCGGAGCGGCTTGTCGCCAAGCGTTGCCAGAGGATTCTGGAAATGCAGGTTAATATTGAGATCGCGATGTCCGCGCTGCCGCCGTTGATAGAACATGTACCCAATGCCAGTGGCAGCAACTGCCATCAACAGTAGCGCGGCCAGCAGCCAGACACCTCGACCCTCTCCGTCATCGCTGCGGTCCGACTGCTGCTCGCTGGAGAGCAGCCAATTCATGTCGATCTCGTTCGTGCTGCCATGGGGACACTGCTGGGCCTCCGGGACGACGGCATCGCCGCACATGCACTCGTAGCCGTAGTCGGCCAGGACACACATGCCGGCGCAGTGGGCGTGCTGGCAGGGATTGGCCGAGGCTAGCGGTTGTCGCGACACTCCGGCCACAATGATGTCCTGGGCATTCATCACGTTCAGGTTGATGGCCTTGCAGTTGCGCTGGCCGTACAGTTGACAGCGCACCGCCTCCCTGGCGCCCATATTGACGATGTAGGCGTGGTTCTCGTAGATGCTCAGTCCGGTCGGCTGCATCAGAGCGTTGCTCTTCTGCAGCAGCACATAGCTCTGCCTCTGCTTGGCACCGCCACGCCCCCCATAGCTGATCATCTCCAGGGTGCGGCTGTGCAGGTCCACAAAGTAGAGCATCTGCTGGTGGGGATCTGTTGCCAGGGCGGTCACATAGCTGCGATGCTTGCCCAGCAGCAGCTCCCGCCGGCTGCCGTCCAGGCGCGCCATGTGGATCTGGCTAATGTGCAGTCCGAAGGTTTCGCTGCGTATGGCCACGTAGAAGAGACGCCCCAGGTGTGCATCAACGGCAAGCGCCTTCAGACTGAACCGGGCCGTCATATGCAGTATCTGGCCACACATCTTGGCCCGGAAGCTGCACACACTGATCTTCTGCGGCGCACTGCCGCTGATCACGTACACGTTGCCCGTCGTCCACTCCACGGCCATTTTGCTGGGCGTGCGCAGAGAGAGGGCGGCCAGGCGCGTGCGGTCTCGCATGTCCACGCGGTAGATGATGTTCTCCTCCTCGCTGCTGAAGTAGCCCAGCTTGCGGCGCATGTCCACGTCGAAGCCGCTGATGCGCGAATCGTTCGCTGACCAGGCCACAGACAGCATCACCGGCTGCTCACTGAGATTGCGCACCTCGTTGTAGCTGGTGAAGAGGAGAGTCGCCCCGGACTGTATGCTCTTGCAGCTGCTGCGATCTTGGCGCAGCATGAAATCCGCATGGCACTGGCACTGATAGCTGCCCGGCGTATTCTCGCACAGCTGCGCGCACGGCTGCTGCTCCGGCGAGACGGCGCACTCGTCAATGTCCACGCAGCTGCGCTGATCGCTCTGCAGCCGATAGCCCTCCAGGCAGGTGCAAACGGCGCCCGCCGGCGTCGCCTGGCACTTGTGCTGGCAGAGCGGCCTCATGCAGGCGCTGCCGCACTGCGGACCCTCGTCGTTGCCATTCGTGCAGTCGTCGAAGCCGTTGCAGACACGCGACATGTCCACACACTCGCCATCGTGGCAGTCGAAGAGATGCGGCTTGCACGCTCGCCTCGCACTCGCACTCGCACTCATGCTCGTCCCGTTGCCGTGCAGCGTGTGCTGCTCGCAGTGCTCCTCGTCGCTGCCGTCGGCACAGTCGCGCTCCTTGTCGCAGCGGAACTCCTGCCGGATGCAGTGCTTGCTGTCGCGGCACTGGAACTCGTAGATGCTGCACAGCTCGCCACAGTCGGCCTCATCCTCGCCGCGTGGGCACTCGGCGGTGCCGTTGCAGCGCGCGGCCATGTCGAGACACAGCTTCAGATTGCTGCTGCACTGATACATGGGCGTGGCCAGCGTGCCGCAGCTAATGTTGGCTGCAGCAGCAGCACCGTCGCTGCTGCGCCGGTCACAATTGAGCTCGTCCGACTGATCCCCGCAGTCGTTGTGGCCGTCGCAGACGAGCCGCGCATCCAGGCACTGGCCGAGCAGGCAGCGATGCATCTTCTCCGGGCACTGGCGCTGTCCGCACTTGTCGTGCTCATCGGAGGCATCGCTGCAGTCGATGCGGCCGTCGCACTCCCAGCTGCTGGCAATGCACGATCCACTGCTGCACTGGAACATGCCGTGCTCACAGCTGGCGGCCTCCTTGCAGCGCAGCTCGTCCGAGTTGTCGCCACAGTCGTTGTTGCCATCGCAGACCAGGGTGTAGTCCACGCACTTGCCGTTGTCGCAGGCGTGCTGATGGGCGTGGCAGAGCTTGGTTCGATCTGAAAGGGATGAGGAGTATAAGAATTACATATATTCCTATATATCATATGTGCACATCGTATAGAAGTTGGCCTACCAAACTGGGCGCAGTGCAGCTCGTCGGAGCTATCGTTGCAGTCCTTGTGGCCGTCGCAGCGCTTGTTCTTGGCCAGACAACGCTTGCCGTCATGGCAGGCGAATTCCGACAGATCACACTTCACTTTGACGCGTTTGATGCCGTCGCAGTCCGACTCATCGGAGCCGTCGGCGCAGTCCTGATGCCCGTTGCAACGGTGCGCCATGGTCAGGCACTCGCCCGAGCTGCGGCAGCGGAACTCGCAGTCCAGGGCCTCGGTGCAGCTGCGATTGGAGGCGTCGCGGTAAACGAAGCCGGCGGGGCACAGGCACGTGCTGTCAAACTGTCCGGCACTGACGCACACATGCGAGCATCCGCCGTTGGCGTTCTGGCAGGGATGCGGGGACAGGCCGTCGCCCAGTCGCCGACTCGCCGCCAGAGGTATGCGCACGGGCAGCATGTGACTGAGGAAGGCGGTGGCCGCTGCGGCGGCACCATCGCGGCCCATATGCGGGCTCGCGTCGATCTCGATGCGCTTGTTGGGGCCCAGGTTGTTCTTGTGCGTCCAGTAGATGGCCGGTGTGCCGAGCTCGCTCCAAAAGAGATCCTGATCGACCAGGGCCAGTGCGTACGGCCGCCGGAACTTGCCTCGCAACGACTGCCCATGGGTCTGGCGATAATTGCTGTAGCTGATGCGACTCGTGTCGCTGTCCGACCAGAACATGGTGCGCGTTTCATAGTCCACGGCAAACTTGATGTCATCGTCGCCCAGGTCGTCCTCAAAGACATGCGTCTGGGCGCCTTTTCCGCTCAGTGCCAAGCGATCGATGTGCGTGTGCCGGCGCGCCTTGAGCGCCACAAACATAAAGCCCTCGGCTGGCATTACGGTCAGCCCGATGGGCCTCTCGTCGCCGGCAAAGAAACGCACCAAGGCACGCTGCCCGGTGCGCAGGGATAGCAGCTCAATCACGTGACGATCCATGTCCGACCAGTAGAGATTGTGGGCCAAGTGATCAAATGCCAAGCCGCTGATATTTCCCAGATTGCGATAGACCAAGGTGACCAAACGCTGCTCATTCATGTGGGGCACATACTCGAAGATCGCGCGCTGGATGTTGTCCGCTATGAAGAGGGTGCCATTGATGCTATTGAAGGCCATCTCGCTGATGTAGCAGGGCAGGTTGTGCGAGGCGGTGACCACATGTCGCCCGAACGAGGTGTGCTCGATCTCCAGCAGCGCCTGGCGCAGTCCAATGAACAGACGTTGCTTCTTCTCCGTTTGGCTGCAGCGGCGTCCATCGGTGGACAGTGTCATGCCCTCCGGGCAGGCGCACGTGTGGCCGCCCGCACTCGGCTCAGCGAGCAGGCAGAGATGTGAGCAGCGCGCCATTTCACAGGCATGCGCCACCTGCGGCTGCTTGGCCGGATGATAGATGTGCACGGCATAGATGGTGCGATCACGTGCCAATACCCGATGATCTTTGCCGGAGAATTTGTGGCAGGTGTGAATACTCCGGGTGCCCCAGTCCGACCAGTACAGGTGATCCTCAAAGATGGCAAGGCCATAGGGATGCTTTAGCATCCCATCGAGGACGGTTTGACGCGAGCTGCCATCCGGGTGCACACTCTGTATGCTGCCCAGCTTGGCGTCCACCCAATAGATGCGCTCCTGGTGCATGTCCAAGGCAATGCCGTTCGGCCAGTGTATATTATCCGATACAATCGGCTTGGAGTGGGCGCCATCCATGGAGGCACGGGCTATCATCGGCCTATTGCCCCAGTCGGTCCAGAACATTTGGCCACGCTGCGGCCACAGTGCCAGGCTGCGTGGCTGGTGCACATCCTCGGTGACCAGCACCACACAGTTAAGACCATCGTTCGAGCAGACCGCAATGTGTCGCATGACATTGTCCGAGAAATATATGTTGTGCGTCAGCCAATCGACGGCCAAGTCCTCGGGAGCGTCTAGGCCAGATGTGAGCAATATCTCGGCCATGGAGCCGTCGGCATGCGCGCGCACAATGCTCTCCGCCTCGTTTTGTATGTTGGTCCAGTAGATGTGCTCGCCGTCGAAGGCCACGCCAATCACCTTGGTCAAATTGGTGGCCACAGTGATGACGTGATGTCGCTCCTTCGACTGCGGCGCTAAGTGCATGCCCATCACAGTCATTTGGGTGGTGTACAGGAGTAGTGGGGATTGCTTCTCTCCGCCAATGCTTGTGGCGTGGCAGGTGCGATTGTTGGTGGCATCCAGCTCGTAGCCTGCATCACAGGTGCAGCGATAGCCACCGGATGTGTTCTCACAGCGCTGACTGCACAGATCCTGTTGCTCCTGGCACTCGTTAATGTCCTCGCACTTATCCTTAAACTTGAGCAGCCGAAAGCCCTTGGGGCAATAGCACTCCGGTCCACTGGTGGGCATCATGTGACAAGTGGCGCCGGGCGGGCACTGCTTGCTGGTGCAGTTGGGTTTCACATGGCAGCTCTCGCTCTCATCGCTGCCATCCGAGCAGTTGGGCTGACCGTCGCACACCTGAGCGAGCGACAGGCAGCTGCCATGATTGCGGCACATAAACTTGCCCATAGACGGTTGACACAGATCCTCTGCAGAGTAAAATTCACAATGCTAAAGCCTTCAATTGACCAAATTCCGTCGAGCATTTACTCACCACAGTCCTTCTCATCACTGCCATCGCCGCAGTCGTCGACGCCGTCGCAGAGCCACTGCTTCCGCTGCAGGCAACGGCCGTTGGCACAGAGGTGGCCGGTGGTGCAACTGGTCGCCGACTGCTTGCAGCCGGCGGTCTCATCGGAGCCGTCGGGGCAATCCTCTTTGCCGTCACACATAAAGTCAAGCGGTAAGCAGCTGTGATCTTGACACATGTACTCATACTGGCTGCAGTTGCGGTGTCCGAAGCTAGTCAGCATTCGATGCGGGCAATGGAGCTCGTCTTCGCCGCCGGGACAATTGTCGACACCATTGCATATTAGTTCCGCTGCCAGGCAGGCACCGTGTGGCTGGGCACACGGGAACCAATGCGGCTGCCGGCACAGCTTGTAGTCTGCCATCCACGGAGATATAAGATTTAGGTTAAGTTTGAGGTTAGATTCGATTTGTAGCTACCGCATTCCAATTCATCCGTGTTGTCTGTGCAATCGCTACGTCCGTCGCACATCTTCGCCTGTAAGATGCAGACTCCGTTTTTGCACTGGAACTGATCTCCATCGCAGCGTGCGTGCGCTGATCCCGTCGCGGTGGCAGCAGTCGCACCGCAAATGAGCAGCAGCACTCCACCGCACAGGCACAAAAGCCACCAGGACTGCTGCACATGGCACTGTGTTCGCACATTATTCTTTTGGCTCAAGGCTGCGGCCCTGTTGGGACAAAATGCACGTGTGCATTTGAGGTTAGGTTACGCAATGAGTCTCACTCCCCATCTCAATTTGCTACTCACATTTGATTTGTGCTCTTAATGCAGCGGCTTGTGGTCTTCTTCACCGCGTATTCGTTACTCATAAATTAAACATTAACGAAACAAAATATATCAAAACGTTCAACACAAATTACAAAGACAATGCAACAAGCGTGCGCAAAACTCAACGCAAACGTTAAGATGCAAAAAGCGAACTGAACGATGTTCAATTGCAAGAAAGCGCAATTGACTTATTGCACACCCACACATATGCATATGCGCAATTCGAAATTCGGCTAAGTTCCGTTACACTTGGTGTGACCAGCTGCAGCAACCGCTGAAATACCCATTAAAGCGCATATAAATGATATTTTTCAAATCTATGATTGTTTTTATTTTGCCAATTTAGCTTTTGTGATGTATTTAACTATTGCATTGTTATAATACACATGAAAATATACTGAGTTAGCATCATTTGTTCTTTAAGCATGTGGCAACTGCAGCATATTATTGACATAGGCCTGAAACTCAGCAGTGCCCTGCTCCACAGGCAGCATCATGATATGGTCCAGCAGCTCCCATGATAATAACGGCTGAACCATGTTATTTTTGCATACATATGCCGGAACCTTGAGATCGAACCTGCGGCACTGCCATTGGCGCCTCAGGCGCGGAACGTTAATGCGATATATCACATTAACGTTGCTCCTCAATTTGCGAAGAGGAATTGCCTTTCCATTTATAATGGCTACTGGTAAACGTACTCTAGTACGTTTGCCCTTCCCACGAGGCTGACGTGCTCCACGGAAATGGAGCTGCGGCATAAGACCATTGTGGGCCTGCTTCCATTTCGACACCAGTTTGTAAATCTTCAACATCATTGAACAGCTGCGGAGATCGAGAATCCAGCTAAATTTTAGGTTAAATTTTTCTGATTTTTCCTAAAACGTGACTCGAGATGACTTACTTGCTGCGTGGTCCAAAAACGTTTGAGCGAGAAAGTTCGATGACTGGCAGAATTTGAGTCTACATACACAACTGTCAAAAATATTATCCTTTGCGCCAAGTGGCAACTCTACCCGTTACATCGATTAGGCCGTAAGTAATTAGATATGCAACTTTTAAATGTAAGTTGCCGATTTGCCGATATATGCAAATATGAGTACTATGCGATAAATATGCGTATGAATAATCTACGATAAATCATGTTAAGTCATAAGAAGTAACATGACTGGACTGGGATCCCAAAATACAGCAATTTGACTGTTGCTTTTTGTGGCAACAATTAATAACACTAAGATTTATGATCGGCGACCCATATAAGACCGAAGCGTTAAAGCGGCGACCGCACTATGTCATAAAACAGTAAAAACAATAAACAAAAAAGCAACACCAGCATCCATTTAACACAAAACAATATCCCAAGGTAGATTTGAAAAATATATAAATTGTATAATTAAAGTAAAGGAGCGCGCGACAATGTTACGCCCCAAACGGAGCAAAAGAAGAGGTGAAGTGAGTGCGGAGCAGGCGTGGCAGGGTCATAAAAACAATAACAAAATAAATGACAACAAAGAACATTTATCTAAGGCAAGCCGACTCTGAAATACCCTTACCGACATGGGCAAAATTTGAATATGTGTTTACGATATTCACTTCTCTAACTCTTTCTCTTTCATCCTCTCTAGGTCTTTCTCTCTTCCTATGTCTCTGAGTAGCTTTATTGATGAGCTGCATACTCAAAGATATCTTATCTCCTGTGTTTGATACCCCTTGGCCATATACCCCCTGTAAGGGTATAGCGAAAAACCACAAAATCTAGCAAATGCATTTACGACTTGTCGATGAGTCGTGGGATCGTGGGATTCGCTACAGACAGCTAAACGCGTCGCCCAACATTGCTAAGCAGTTCAGTTGCTCCATTATTGTTGTTGGTTTCGGCTATTCGGTTGTTCAGATGTTCAGTTGTTCGGTTGTTCGGCTGTTCGGCTATTCAGTTATTCAGTTGTTGGGCTTGAGTAATGAGCACTGTCCGTCGACATGTTCGCAGTGCCGTAAAGGCGTTCAAATTAGTTGTAAAATCAGCCCGCACGATACATTTCATTTAATAACAGTTCGGACTTGTTTCTTCTTGCGAGAGTATATAATGCACACACGATGTCCGAATGAGCCACAGTCATCCGTCAACACCGTTCCAGTGAACTCGTATAACTCCTACTCAACGAAACCTACAGTCCCAAAATGGCAAGTCCTTAAGAAAAGTTTGATTAGTCGGAATACCTCAGCTTATGAGATCATAACGAATCTTGGAATAACAATAATAATAATAGTAACTCCCAACTGTTATCTTTCTGATCTGAATTCCTCTCTGTAGCACTCCATTTCTGTAATTGCTTTGATCGCTTCTCTGGCGCTGTGCGCCGCTGATGTCTCTCATTTGCCCCTCTCCCGGAGCTACTTGCCTCCGCTCAGTGGGGCCGGCGGCTACTCGGCGTACTCCTCGTATCCCTCGTACACGGGCAACTCCTACTCCAGCGGTGCCTACTACCCGAGTTCCCGCCTCGGCTCTGGGTACAACTCCGGCTACAGGTCCGGCTACAACTCCGGTCTAGGCTCTGGCTATGTTGCTCCGCTGGTCACCTCTGGCTACAACAGCTATGCAGCTGTGCCGCAGTATAACACTTATGCCACGCCCACACGCACCTATCTGCCAGTCCTGGCAGGTTATTCGGGTGCTGGCTACTCCGGCTCTGGCTTAGCAGGCTCCGGCTACAGCGGCCTGGATACTAAATATGCCTCCAACGGTGGCTACATCTATTAAAAGCCGAACTTAGTCTTTGCTTGGATCAGTATACCTATACTACACCTATCTTCATATGCAACGAGTGCTCACTATATATAGATATGTATGTAATTATGTATGTATAAATATTATATATACATATGTATGTAATTATGTATGTATAAATATATAACTGTATATATGCTTACCTATAAATCTTTTTTTTTACTATAAATAAAGTTGTTCTAACTATAATTATTTATGTTTTGTTTCTAAAGTTAAATGGGTTTGTAGGAAGACGGAAGGGGACAAAAGTGGGTTAGGATTTTTTCAGTCAGTCAGTCTCAATTTTTGAGAAATGGAATAGAAAAAAAAAAAACATTTATCTATTTTTTTTTTTTTGCAAGTTTGAAACTTTATTTATACACAGAACTAATTAAGAAACTTAATTAAAAAAAAAAAAAAATTTTGTTGTAGAAATTCGTTTTGTTAACCTTTAGCCCGATTCAATCAGAAATTGTGGAGATCAGCTTAATGCTTATAACGGTACGCGTATCCACCGTTGGCAGCGTAGCGGGTGCCGCCAGCACCATAGGAGCTGCCGCCTCCGTAGCGAGATCCACCATAGCCCTGACCAAAGCTGCGGCCCGAGGCCGAAGAGCTCGCAGTATAGCCACCGAGGCCCTGGCCAAAGGAGGAGGCGTAGCGAGCTGGCGAGGAATAGCTGCTATGGGAGACGGCTGGAGCGGAGTAGCTGACGTGCGAGACAGCTGGAGCGGAGTAACTGCCTTGAGCTGGTGCCAGGTACTGCCGGGATGGGGCATATGTAGAGGCAGAGGATGAGTAGCTGCTGCGAGAGACTGCTGGAGCGGAATAGCTGCTGCGAGAGATAGCTGGAGCGGAGTAGCTCACTTGCGAAACAGCTGGAGCTGAGTAGCTACTGCGAGAGACAGCTGGAGCGGAGTAGCTGCTGTGGGAGACTGCTGGAGCGGAGTAGCTCACATGCGAAACAGCTGGAGCCGAGTAGCTGCCGCGAGAGACAGCCGGCGCCGAGTAGCTGCTATGGGAGACTGCTGGAGCAGAGTAGCTGCTGCGAGAGACAGCTGGAGCCAGGTACTGGCGCGACGGAGCTGCATAGCTTGAGCCAGTTGAGCTGTAGCTGCCGTGTGAGATGGCTGGGGCAGAGTAGCTGCTGGCGCCTGCGGTCGAGTAGCTGCTGAGGGATGCAGCCGGTGCCAGATACTGTCGAGATGGCGCTGCATAGCTGGAGCCGTGCGAGCTCGACGAGTAGGAGCTGGATGGTGTATAGGAGCCGACGCCGCTCGATCCCGCCGAGCTGTAGCCGCTATACGCATTGGCCTGTGGTGGCAGATAGGTGTTGCTCAAAGGAGTGGCCACGCCCAGGGCGGCAAGGGCCAGCAGCGCGGAGCAAATGGCAAATGGACGCTGTCGACAGACACAGATGGATTAGCTGGGATTAGCAACTGGACACACTCGCTGAGCGGGCGACTTACCATGACGAGCTCGTAGTAGTTGCCGGTTGTTTAGAGATGCCAAGCAAGCGGTTACTGATGCCCCTAGAGTTGCGGACCAACACTTTTATAGCGCTCACAAACAAAAGAATTGTGTGTACAAATCGTGTTGAAGAACGAAACGGAATCCAAGATCTCAGTTAAACTAGTCAGCAGAAATTTGAGTACCACACCCTCAGCTGTGTATTAGACGAGCCTGAAACGAGTCTTACACATTAGACAATCAGAAAACGTAATTCTGGCTAATTGTAAAGTAAAATGAGCTTAGCGAGCAAATATCGAAATATCGTAATATCGCAATACTTGATATTCTCAAGCAGTGGCAACGCTACCAAAAGACGTTACCTTATAAAGATACCAATCAGAACATTTTAAAATATATTTTAAAAAATGTATATATGTAAATATTAAAAAAAAAAAAAAAAAAAAACAGAAATACTGAAAATAGTTTTATATTAATAAATATTGATAAAATAATTAATATTGAACCAAAATTGATACATAAAATTAATAAATTTTTTTTAATACTACAAAGTTTTTATACATTTAACGTGTCAAAAATACTATATTACTTGAAAAAATTAAGTATATCAGGAATTAATTTAAAATAAATAGATATAGAATCACTATTCAAATAAATAGAATATGAGAAAATCAAATAATTTGTAGTGCAGTGTAGACGCAGAATTGCGCTATAGTGGAGGATGCCATGGGATCTAATAGTAGTTTGTTTATTTTTAGCTATGTCCATTTCGGAAGTCGCAGAGCCAAACACAAACATTAACGCAAATAATTTGAAAGTTTAATTAATGATGCGATTTTTTGTTGTATCTAGTATTTTTGGGGTCTTTGTTGTTTATTTTCGGTTCTCAGCTCAGACTGGCCAGGCTGAGCGTTGGTATTGGGGAAAAACGTAAGATAAGCAAGGTGCAGAGATAGAGGCAGAAGTGGAGTTAGAGCTAGACATAGACTAGAAGCAGAAGTAGAGCTAAAGGTGGAGATAGATATATATATATACATATATATATGTAAATGTGGATATAGATCTACATAGATATATAGACAGAGGAAGAGATACTGGTAGAGGTAGAGGTAGAGGTAGAGGTAGAGGTAGAGGTAGAGGTAGAGGTAGAGGTAGAGGTAGAGGTAGAGGTAGAGGTAGAGGTAGAGGTAGAGGCATCGCCTCTATGTTGGTTTGCTCAGATTGACTGACATAGCTGCGGGCCTGCAGTTGGGGCATGGGACTTGGCACTTAATCTTGGCTGAAAGCTTTAACGTTTGAATGCTTTATTCGGGCTGAAGGCGACGATTACTCACATTGGACATTAATTATAATTCGCACCGTGTTTATTTCATTGCGTGCTCAGCAAATGGTGAAGAAACCAGAAACAATAACAGAAACGAAAACAAAAACAAACAATTTGTTTATGGGCGCAATTTCAAATTATGCGCCCAACTTTGTAGATCATTATCCTAACTCATATACTATACCTATATATCAGATGGGTGTTGATAGTCCATACGAACCAAAGTGGTGTTGGCAGTGGCTTACCTCGCTTAGCCAATATCAGTATATTGTAGATATGTACAAACTTAGATATGTTGGCCTGGATATATATATGTAAGTATCTATATAGTTTTGTATTATTTACTTTATCTGATTTACTACGGAGTTACTATTACTTTTACTACTGAATAAATTAAACACAAATTATATTAACTTACGTGCTTATTTCCTATGACTTATAATTGAGCTACTATATCTACTGCTATTCATATTACTGCAGTACTACATGTATTTTAAATAATCTTTATAATTTTATAATACTATTTTTGCTACTATTATCTATCTGATTACTATTTCTATATACTATTATTTCTATTTTGATATTACTATTAGTACTAACATATTACAATATTTACGTTGATACATTGTAATATATTTCTACTGCTATACTACTAATTCTACTACTTTGTTACTACTATACTTTTATTTTCCTCTGCTTGCATATACTTATTTCTACTACTCTACCACTTCTACTACTAATTATATATAAAGTACTCTACCACTTCTACTACTAATTATATATATGTACTACCACCGCTACTACTATTACTACTACTAATACTGCTCTACTACTACTACTACTACTACTATTACTACTTTTACTATACTACTACTATTTATTTACTTACTTGATTGACTGCTACAGAAAGTCTTAATACTACGACTATATCTACCTTGCCAATTTTAACTTGACTACTTTTATTCAGGTCATTCTCTGTCCTCTCCATCTGATTATGTGATTCTTTCTATTTCCTATTATAAATAGTTATTCAACTTTAACAATTTTTGCTTTAGCCTCTTCCACTATTTCCTCTTCGACAATTACTTTAACTTTAGCCTTTACTCTATCTGTTTTTACTACTCATTTGACATCTATTATTTAATTTTATTTCACTATTTCCACTTTTACTCTTTCTTCTACTTTTTTGTTAGTATACTTTTTTTTGTTAGTATGACTAAACTTTTTTCAGCTTCGTCTTTACTGCTACTTGCACTTTCGTTACTACTCGTCTCTCTCTTTCTCTCTCTTCTACTTCTACAATCTTTGCTTAAAATATCTCTACAATTAGAGTTGAGCGCTAAAAGACTCTCATAATATTTCTGCCCGCATGAAGTTCCTCCTTCGAATTGCTAATCATTAATGACAGCATAAATAATAATAATACTAATAAATAAAAAAACACGTTCTGCCTAGCAAAAATGTAAATATTAACTCATTTAGCATATATTCAAAGCTGACATTGTCCAATGCAATTTGACTACCGATTCGACTTTCACTATCGAGCCAGAGCCAGCGCCAGCGGAGCTTAACTATGGAATAGACTTAGTAGTATACTACGGCAGGTGTCGATGAGATAATGAGTGGAGGAATAGCTCAAACAGCGCTAAGATTTATTTCGGAGTTCTACTACTAATTGGCGCGGCCCGCATGTCGTTCGGTTCTCGTTCTCTTGCTCTTCGCTTTAAATGAAGCTGACTAAATTCCTCATAATTATCTTGATATTTAATTAACCAATTTTAGTGGCGTCAATAAATTATTTTTCCAAACATTTACAGACAATTTATTGGCTATTCGAACTGAACTGAATATGTATTAATTGCAAACAAGTACGAAGAGTTCCAGCTGAACGACTGCAGCATACCCTAACCATAAGTTAGATAAACGAAATGTAGCTACATTTGATGCTGGCATATATGAAGTAGCGAGTTTACAGGGTATTCACAAAAAAAAAAAACAATTAACTTTTTAGCTGAATCAATACAAGCCAATACAAAGCTGATTATGTGTTATTTATATTATGTGCACCTACTACTATTATAAGTTTACCAACCGATATATACATATGTATATATACATGTGATATATATATATTATATATGGTATATAAAACCTGATACGACAAACGTAATTTGCAAAGATTATTTTTTGTTGCGTGAGTTTGTTGTGCCTTTTTTTTTTTTTTTTTTACCTCTTTCTCATCTTTCTCACATGCCTTTTGTGCTGCTGAATTGGGAGCGCTAAAAAAGCATTGAATATATACAAGTATATATGTACATATATATATATATTCATACATATATATATTTTTTTGTTTTTGTATTTTATGTATTGCATTTTGATTTTTCCTCTCTTTTGTCGAATCGGGTTAATGTTAATGGACACTCGAAGAAACTTGTTATGCCCGAATAACGGAGTGCAAGTAAGGAAGAGTCGTGTGTGAGAAGCGCATAGAAGGGCCGTTGCCCCGGCCCAACGCTGCAGCTGCATCCAGAACATATGCATATATATATATTTAGGCCCGTTGCAATTCCTCAGATGCCGACTTGTTGCCATCGTCTGCACATCGCTCGCCGCTCGTCACTCGTCATGCAGTTCACTTGGATTTTGTTATCGCTGTCGGTGCTGGCGATGCACAGCTTCGCCCTGCCAGCGGGCAGCACAACGAAGCCAAAGGTATTCATTGACAGCAGCGACAGTACGGAGCCGATGCTGTACCATTTTATTACGGAACATCGGCCCACATCGATGGGCCAGAACTATTACCTCAAGCCCGGCCAGCTGGTCGGCACATTCAGCCTCGACTCGGGCACGCTGCACGTGAAGCACGAGGACAGCAAGCGACCCATCAGCAGCAAGCTCAACATTCTCTTTGTGGCCACGGCCAAGGAGAAGGATGCCGCCACCTAGGAATCAGCTACGATCTTTATATATCCACATATATGTAAATCCCATCTATTGTATCTTTCTCTTGAGCAGCTCAATAAAGCCCAGCGTTGAATGAATGTCTATATATAGCTGATCCTTTTGTAATGGAAATATATATATATATATATATATATATATATATATATATATATATATATATATATATAAATAGCTAGATGAACTGAACCACCTTTATATAAATCTTTAGATACATATCTCCCATTCTTTGTATCTATCTCTTGATATATGTACGTATAGATATATTTAGATACAGAGATAGGGATCTATCAATATAGAGAAACACACGCCAGCAGAGGCGTGGCAAATTGAAAACAATCAAAATTCAAAATCTTTCTCTCATTTGGCGATCTTAAGTCTAGTTAACAGTGGACTCCCTGACTTCTTCAGACTGATCTATATTTTATATCATTGTAATCAACCAAGTTTACAGCCGGTAGTGCTCCATAGTAGTGTTTTTACTTGCTTTAAGCGCATGTTGATGGCTGAATGAACCGTTTTAGGTAACAAGTTTTAGGTATGAGATAGATGTATTGATATAAATATATATACTTTATGTATATATTTATGAGATCATGATATCATAATACAATATGATATCACAAAAAGCCTCAAAACGTCGTATCTATTTCTAGAGAATTCACATTATATATCAAAAGAATTCTCTGGAATCTTAACTGCATTCGGAATTATAGTAGAACAATGGTGTTACTTAGACAAGTATATATAGATACCCATACATACATTATATATTGGAACACAAATTTGCATATTTATTGGCAGAGTCTTTTGGAGAACTTTCATCGAATGCAAATAAAATGCTGCGTTTATCGTTTCTGGTAGTTTAAGAAATTCATTGTTTTTATTTTAATTTATAAAATTGTAAAAAAAAAAGATTGGTTCGAAAAAAAAAAAAATGGTAGGAATATCGATTTGAAGCGTTCTTGGAGCCAACTAGTAGACGTAGCCGCCGTTCGAGCCGTAGACGGTGTCAATGCCAGAGTATCTCACTACATTGGCAACTGGAGCGGTAGCGGCAGCTGCAGCGGGAGCAGAATACGAAGCACTCTCGAAGCTGGCCGCGGGAACAGTATACGACGAGTCGCTGGCGAAGCTATTGGCTGGAGCAGCGTACGAGGCGCTCTCGAAGCTGGCAGCAGGGGCGACGTAGGATGATTCGCTGGCAGCGGCAGCGGCGGCGGCTTCAGCGGGAGCAGCATACGAAGCGCTCTGGTAGGTGGCAGCGGGAGCGACATAGGATGTGTCGGCGGTAAAGCTGCTGGTAGCAGGAGCGGTGTAGGTCTTGCTGGTGAAACTCTTGACTGGGGCAGCATAGGAAGCGCTCTGGTAGGTGGCAGCGGGAGCCACATAGGATGTGTCGGCGGTAAAGCTGCTGCTTGATGGGGCGGTGTAGGTCTTGCCGACGAATTGCTTAGCTGGGGCGGCATAGGTAGTGCTCTGGTAGGTGGCAGCAGGTGCGGTGTACGTCTTGCTGGTGAAAGTCTTGGCTGGGGCGGCATACGAGGTGGTCTGGACGGAGGCAGCGGGAGCCACGAACGAGGAGTCGCTGCTGAACGAGGCTGCATCGGTAGACGCAGCAGCAGCTGGGGCGGCATACGAGGCGCTCTGGACGGAGGCAGCCGGAGCGACGTAGCTCTTGGTCACACTCGTGACCACGGAGGAGCGAGGTGGCAGATAGGTGTTGCTCAGGTGGCTGACATCAGCGGCGGTCAAGGCCACCAGGGCGAACGAGACGATGGCAAAGAGTTGCTGAAATGACGAGCAGGAGCTATTAGCAGGAGCAGGAGCAGGAGCCGGAGCCAGAGCAGCACGTCCTTACTAACCATTGTGTGTGAGTGTGTGTGTGTGTGTATGTGGGGGGTGCTGTGTGGGTGTTCCTGCGCGTTGCTGCGTTGACAAAGTTGGTCAAAGAACTAACTTTTGACTAGCGCGTCCTAGCATATTTATAGTCAAGAGACAAATGTCAAAGCGACGCAGCGAGAAGAACAAGATAATAAGAACTTGTAGCTAATTTAACAAATGCTCATAAAATATCGTTCATTATAAGCTTTCTATGAATAAACCAGAGAAAAAACTAAAAAAAAAAAAAAGAGAACAAAACAAATAAGACTCATATAATAATAAAAGCAATGTTCAGAACGAGCTTGAGCTCCTACTGGAGATCGGAGTGAGACGTCCGTCATTGATGATGATTGGTGTTTTGTTCATTAGCTGGCTCAGAGCTCTAAGTTCTATCTGAAACATGTTTCGTTGCTTTTATTTCGGCTGGCATTTATAGCCGCACAGCTCGTCCATTTAATGGGCGACTCATAAAGCACGATATTGGCAAACGAAACTCCATTCATAACGCTCAGCTTGGCAGCTCCGCCAGGTGGGCCGTCTATAGCCAGCGAGTTCTATGCCCTGCAATCAGTCAAAGCGCACAATCAATCAACATGAAAGCAATGAAAAATGCTACCTTGTGGCAATATTAAATAAGAAACAAATTAAAACACGATGGGATTTTCAGAGAGCCGAGACAGTCTGGAATTAATTAATCAACAGCCGCAGGTAGCCAATGCTGCTGCTGATGATGAGTAACGCCAAGTAGTGGACTCAATATACAAAGCAATTTCGTATCCGACATCGAAATGTGTTTGGCAATTAGATATATTGCATTTTAAATATCAGCTATTTATAGCATTTTCTAAATCCGTATTTTTTGCTCTTCTCACATTCGCATCCGTTATTTAATCGTTTGCTACTCTGATTGATAATTAATGTCTTTTTCATATTGTATTTCGTGAGACATTTCAAATTGGCGCTCCATTTAGCTATTCTCATAAGAGAACCATTAACTCTTTAACAGCTCTGCTGTTTAAAGGCTTTTCTTGCTGTTATTTTATCGACTCTGGCAGCGCTCCTCCACTTAACAGCTCTACTCTGACTTCCTTAACAGCTCGGGCAGCAATGTTTCCTCTTACAGTTCTTTTACCAGTTCTGGCAGCGCTGTAACAGAGGGATTTCGAATTCGCGCTCCACTTAACATTTCTTGCGATAATTCCTTAACAGTTCTGGCCACACTGTCTGTGACGAATTTAAATTCAAATTCAAACTGCGCTCCAATTTCTGGCAGCACTCTCGCACTTTTTACACGAGTTCTTTAACAGTGCTGGCAACGTTCCACGCGCATAAGCTGTTGAGCTGCTGTTGATTTAGAAATTTGCAGAGCTGTAACGGCTTGAAGGATTTTAAGCGTTGACTGCGTGAAGGGCAAACACTTTTGATGTCATTTCATTAGTTGATTATATTTTAAGTAAAAAAAAAGAAGCAATTTAACAGAGCTAGTACTACAATTTGGCTAAGTTACATAATAATAAAAAAAAAAAAAACGATTCACGGTTCCGTAAATGCGAGTTCGGGCGTCTGTTCGACAACCCGTTCAAACGCATTTAGTTTCTCTTCTCATATACGTAGCCGCCGTTGCTGCCGTAGTTAGTGCTAATCTGTGAGATGGCATTGGTTGTGGCTGTGGCTGTGGCTGGGGCTGGGCTGCTAATCAGAGCGCTGCTAGTTGGAGTCGAAACCAGAGTTGGAGCTGCAACGGGAGCTGGAGCAGCTTGCTGGACGGTGGTAGTACTCTGCACAAGGGTCTGGGCAGCTGGCTGTGCGTAGCTCACCTGCTGGGCAAGCGCAGGTGTGAAGCTGTAGTTGGGCGTGAACTGTGCCACTGGAGCAGCAACTGGACTGCTCAATTGCAGTGGAGCGGGTGGTGCTGGTACATAGGATTGCTGCAATTGCACTGGAGCCTGAACCGTGGTGGTATAGGTCACCTGTTGGGGCTGCTGTTGCACTTGTTGCTGCTGCACTTGCTGCTGCTGTACTTGCTGCTGCTGTACTTGCTGCTGCTGCACTTGCTGCTGCTGCACTTGCTGTTGCACTTGCTGCTGCACTTGCTGCTGCACTTGCTGCTGCAGCTCCTGCTGCACCTGCTGCTGCATTTGTTGCTGTTGTAGTTGTTGCTGCTGCTGCTGTTGCAGTTGTTGCTGCTGCTGCACTTGCTGTTGCACTTGCTGCACTTGCTGCTGCAGCTCCTGCTGCGCCTGCTGAACTTGCTGCTGTAGCTCCTGTTGCGCTTGCTGCACTTGCTGCTGCAGCTCCTGTTGTACCTGCTGTTGCACTTGCTGCTGTTGCAGTTGTTGCTGCTGCTGCTGTTGCAGTTGTTGCTGCTGCTGCTGTTGCAGTTGCTGCTGCTGCACTTGCTGTACCTGCTGCACTTGCTGTACCGGCTGCACTTGCTGCTGTTGCTGCTGCACTTGGAATTGGATGGGTGTGGGTGCGGAGGCAGAGACGACCTCTTGTAGATTGTAGGTTGCAGTGGGTGCTGGTGCCTGGTAGCTATAGCCGGTAAACTGAGCCTGTTGGATGGCCGTCTCTTGCACCTGCTGAACAATTGGAGCTGGAGCTGGTGAGGAGTAGATTTGCTGCACCTGCGGAGCAGGAGCAGAAACGGTATATGATTGCTGCACTACCGGGGCAGAGGCGGTATAGGTTTGTTGCACTACTGGAGCAGAAGCCGTATAAGTCTGCTGCACCACTGGAGCTGGGGCTGCAACATAGCTTTCCTGGATGGCCTGAGTGGGAGCGACATATGACTGCTGCACCACTGGAGTGGAGGACGTAATCACTTGGCTCACAGGGGCAGAGTAGGTCTGCTGCACCGCTGGTGCGACTGCTGGAGTGGAGTGAATTTCCTGTACAGCAGGTGCGGGCGACGAGATCACCTGACTCTCCTGAACCACTTGCGTTGGAGCTGAAATTACTTGGGTAGTGCTCTGAACGGACTGGGTCTCCTGAACCACAGGAGCAGGAGCAGGAGTAGGAGCAGGAGCGGAGTAGGTCTGCTGCACCACTTGAGCTGGAGCGGAGTAGGTCTGCTGCACCACCTGAGTTGGAGCTGGAGCAGAGTACAGCTGTTGAAGGGCAGGAGCTGGAGAGTAGTACGTTTGCTGAGCCACTGGAGCTGGAGAGTAGTACGTTTGCTGAGCCACTGGAGCTGGTGCAGAGTAGGTTGTCTGAGTTACTGGACCTGGAGCGGTGTAGGTAGTCTGAGTTACTGGCGCTGGAGCGGAGTAAGTTTGCTGAGCCACTTGAGCCGAAGCAGCGTATGACTGCTGGGCGACTGGAGCTGGTGCTGAGTAGGTTTGCTGGGTTACTGGAGCAGCCACTGGAGTGCTCACCGACTGCTCAACAACGGTTGTGGATTCCTGAGCAGCAGCTGGAGGCGAGGGCACAAAGAGCTGCGTGGGAGCTGCTGGTGCCACGCTGACTGACGATTTAGATGTCTCGTAGCTGACGGCCGTGGGCAGTGGAGCCGTTGACACTTGGTTGACGCTCGACTGGCCGCCGCTGTGGATGGTGAAGCTGCCCAGTGAAACGGATGGACGGATCGACTCAATCTGTGCAATGGATCGCTGCGGCTGCTGTGGCTGCAGCTGATAGCTCTGATAGCTGATCGCTTGCTGGGTGGGCTGCTGTAGACCCTTGATGGGGGCCGGGGGTAAGTAGCTATTCGTTTGCGGACGGGCCAGAGCCAGGCCCACCAGGGCAGTGCCAACGACGACTAACGCAATGAGTTTCTGCCAGGCAAACCCAAGACATGCAAATAAACAGAAACAGAAACAGAAACAGAAACAGAAACAGATTAGACAATCCAGAGTTGGCAAACGGCAGGCAGGTGGTAAAAGTGTGGATGGTCGCGGCTGGGCGCACTCGCTTACCATGCTGTGTGTGTGTGGAGTTACAAGATCTGCGCGTGCTACACCAAACGAACGAAACCGTAAAACTGATGCCTGCCCAACAGATCCGATGGGCATTTATAGCCAAATGCCATCTGAAGACTGCGGCCAGAGCACTTGCGGCGACAGCTAGCATCATTGTCATTCCATAATTGGTTCAGCGTCATCTTGGACATCTATATTTCATGGTATGTGTGTGTGCGTGTGCGATTGTGCGTGTATCTGTGTGTGCCTCTTGTGTGTGAATATGTAAATGCTAAATGCTCACAACAAAAGCTTGCAATTTGGCTATAACTTTGGGCCGATTAATAAATGCCCAAAAAGTTGTAAAAAAAAAAAAAAAAAAAAATATATATATATATATAAATAAATGAATGAAAAAAGAAGAAGACACAACAGACAGCAAACAAACAATGCCTCACACTCTCGGCGACGATGCACACACAATGCCAACAGCTCGGCTCGGCTTGGCTCTGCCTGTGCCGCGCTGTGGCCCAGTCGCGTCTGCTAATCTCATGTTTCCCATCTCGGGGGCGGTGTTACACAAATGGCTTTCTTTTCGCAAGCCCACACACACGCGCTCAAACTCACCTGCAACAGTTTTCCAGAGCCAAGCCGCCAACCGCTCTAAGTGTGTTTGCATTTGTTGCAATTGCACATTTGTATAGTTTCTGCCGCGGCTGCTGCTGCTGCTGCTGCTGCAGTCTCTGCTGACCACCAATTGATGCCTGGGTGCGTTCGTTGACTTCACCTAGTTAAATTACGCAATTCAAACTGATCGGCGATCCGTGGCAAACTCCTAGAGTTGGCATTGAATTGAATCAACAGCAGCGATAGGCATCGCTGATAGGCAGCGTTCGATACCCAGCAGCAGGCCTAAGCTTTCATGCCTCTGACTGATTCTAACGAGGTGGCAACACTGGCCGCGTCAATTGTGCACTCAAGTCGTTACGCAATCATGCCAAGACAAACAAGCACATAAATATCTTGACAAAAAAAAGATAAAAAATATTATCTAATTGTTGTTGCTCTTTTCTTGCGGTTTTGCCTTCTGCGTCATTTGCTCAAATTAAAAAAAAATAATTAAAAATAAGCCAAAATAAATTAGAAACTAAATACTCGAGAAATGTTGCCAAATATGTCATAAATAATATAAGAAGAAAAAAAAAATAGTTATAATAATAAATAAATAAAAACAATGTTAATATTGTTATTAGCTTAATATACCTGAAGTTGAGAAAAAAAATATTGGCAACATGGATAAATTTCGTACATATAAAAAAACAATTTCTTTTTATAAATTTCGTACATATTTATAACAAACTGAAGAATTTAATTTTTTTTTTAAATTTTAATTTAAATAAAACAACTGAATAAAAAATAAAAAAACATTAAAAAAAATTTTTTTTTAATATTTTATAATTATATTATGATCTAACTTTCAAAAAATTACACATTTTCAATTTTTGTATATATATACGTATATTTAAATGGAGGAAAAAAAATATGTGTTTTAAAAATCTATTTTTGTTTTAAGTTTCTTTGGAAAGGAATTAAATTTGGTTATGAAGTTTATCTAAAATAGTTTTGAGCTGCACCTCCTTAGCGAATTCAATGTGATCGTGTGTGTTTCTATTTTGTATTTCGCAGTCATAGACATGCATATATGCATATGTCCATAAAATATATCCATATTTGTATAATTCCTTTAATTTTAGCCTTCATGCATAACATGATGTTATACATTTCATGATATTGTCCGGCTGCGTTTCACATTTGTTTAGAAAATTATGTTTATTATAATGATAATGAAGTCAGATCTCAGTCAGATCTCAGCTTGATAATTTCTTATCAAGCGTACAAATCGATACCAAAATATTTGTCAACAACAACAGCAACGACAACAACAACAACAATATGTTTGCACCTGCGGCTTTTGCACGCGTCGCTCGAACTGATGGAACTGAAACAAAAAGCTGTAAAAAATGTCAAGTTGAGGGTCTGTGCCCCTGGCAACAGTTGCATTAAGTAATTATGACTAATTGCCGATCGGACAACCTTTAAGATTAACAAGAAAATGACGGACGAGCAGCAGCAGAAGAAGACCGGCATAAGCCTTACAGAGAGTAGCACAGAAAACATGGCTTGTATAATTGACAAAGCGTTGAATGAAATTGTTTTACAAGCAAATGCAAATGAAACAGCGGTACGGCCGCAAAAAGCAATGAAGATGCTGACTAGCTGAATACCCTGTAAGCATAGCGCAAGTCATGGGTGATTGCTTCGACTAAGCTAGTATAGACTAGCTATATGACATAGAGGAGCTCTCTGAAAGTGAACTCGAACTTAGATTCCCAATTGAATAATATTATTGTTAATATATCAAAATACTTTCATAATTGGGTAGGCCTTGCTCTGCTCAACGTCTGCTCATGCTTTTCTTTAATCAATCTTGCTTTAATCAATCAAATCCAATTTCATATTCCACTGCGGACAGGGTATTCACACACATCATATACGTATGTATGTATCTATGCAGGTATCTATCAAACAGAAACAATCGAAATCTATTCAACAATATAACGTACGTTAAATAATAATAACAACAATGGGGGGGCTGCAGCTAGACAAAACATCGAAAAACTGTGTAGACAAATATGAAAAATTAACGACTATAAAACCACAAGAGAAAAAACAAAACAAATGAAAAAGAAGAAGAAGAAGCGCGAAACTTGCCAATTGAATTTGCATAGAAACATAAAATACAAGAGTTGCAAACCAAAGGAAATATCACCTTAGCTTGGACACCTGTGGGCGTTGGTTGCAAAGAATTAGCAAATCTATTTCATATGGAGCGAGTTTCGCAATGAATCGCATAAGATTTAGCCAGCTTAATGCTGCTAGTTTGCAAATAGTTATTCTACTACTCATGGGTATTTCCCTTTGCTTAGTCGTTATATTAGCTGAGCAGCTGAATGGTTCATACTGAAAATGTTTTGATACTGATTATATGAGGTAGGGTATTTAAGAGACGAAAATGCGTCTAGTTTATTAGAAAGAAACAGAAATTGTACGCCCGTACTGAGTGTAGATATATCTGCCATATCTCTGATTTTTGATTCGAAATTTCATCTCTCTAGCATTTCGTCTATCACAGTTCCTGAGGGACCTTAAAATGCAGTTTTCGATTTGCCGCGCCCCTAGTGAATTGATATGGCAAGTCTAGACATTAGTTAATTCGAGGGTATACACCAGTCTATAGTTTCAATAGCGTTAAAATGGTTTGCATTCATACGGACAAACGGACGGACAGATGGACGGGTAGATGGATGGGCAGGCTGACGGATAGACGGACGGACAGACGGACGGGCAGACGGACGGATAGATGGAAGGACAGACGGGTGGGCACATGGACGGGCAGAAGCACGGGCACATGGACGGGCAGAAGCACGGGCAGACGGACGGACAGCAATACATACATAGCAGAAACTCAATATAATTCACTTATATGAATGAGTATAAAAAATTATAACAATTAAAATACTGTTAGGCAAATCAGCCATAATCGACTGCATAATACTCTATCGTAACCTGAAAACCATTAATTGTGTTCGATATGAAAATTTTCGGTTTGAACTCGTTCATTTAATGAATATGTTCTCTTCTGCAATTTGTCTTATTAAAGTCAAGAGCTTCGATTTGCCACTCTCCAGTAGGCGTGGATACCTAACTTTCGTCTAAGCTTAAAATGGTGAGACTTAAGCTTGTTTACCTAAATAATCATATATATTTCCAATCTGTCTAGTGTCTAAAAGGCTGTCTATTAAACCAGACAGAGGCAGAGAGAGAGAGAGAGAGAGAGAGAGAGAGAGAGAGAGGGAGAGAGAGAGAGAGAGAGGGGGAGAGAGAGAGCGAGGGAAAGAGAGAGATATATAGAGCAATAAAGAGAGAGAGAGAGAGATACTTAGATATGTTTCAACTCTTTCAAGGTCTGGCTCTAATTTATAGTTTCATTTTCAACAAACGAGTCAAATATATCCGCCAGTTTTATTGAGCAAAATAATACAATAAATAATTTAACTATTGTTTTTAGGTGTTGCTCGGGTCAAGCCAGACGTGACTCGCTAAGCTTGTTAAGTATTTTTTTCGTTTTATGCTCTTCTCAAAGCCAAGCCGAGCTTTGTGACTTGTATCTGTTCAGCGAGTGCGGTCGTAAACACGGGAAAAAAGCACAAGGTGATGATCAAATTGACTATCGAATCGAATCGAACCGTACCGAATAGAGAGAAAGACAGAGAGAGAGAGAGAGAGAGAGAGAGACAGAGAAAAAAAACACAAATTGATTAAATAATAATTTATTGGCACTAAATGTCATCGTTGCTCATTTCGCGCGCTTGTAGACGTAGCCACCGTTGGAGGCGTAGATGGTCTCCTTGTTTTGGGACTTGGCCAGTGCCTTGGCGCCTGTGCTCTTTGGCTTCGCCTTGCCCTCTGGCTGCGGCTCGTCGGCGAAAGGCTGTGGATGCGGCTGATAGTTTTGGCCGGGTATGCCGAAGCTGGGCACGAAGGGCTGACCCACGTTGACCAGGTGCTGGAAGTGATGTGCGGACTGTGGACCGCCAAAGCCAGTCTGTGGGCCAAAGCCGACGTTCTGCTGGAAGGGCAGCTCTATGGCGGCTGCAGGTAGTCCTTGCATGGTCAGGTAATCGGGTGCAAAGGCCGTTGGGCCGACTTGAAAGGCGCCGCCTTGTGGGCCAACTGGAAAGGCGCCGCCTTGTGGGCCAACTGGAAAGCCTCCACCCTGTGGGCCAACTGGAAAGCCTCCGCCCTGTGGGCCAATTGGAAAACCTCCGCCCTGTGGGCCAATTGGAAAACCTCCGCCCTGTTGTCCAGGCGTAAACTGAGGACCTTGTTGCCCTCCTACAAACTGAGCGCCCTGTGGAAACTGGCCAGGCTGAGGACCAAGTGGAAACTGGCCAGGCTGAGGACCAAGTGGAAACTGACCAGGCTGAGGACCAACTTGAAACTGACCAGGCTGTTGGAATTGCGGTCCTTGTGCTCCATTGGCAAACCCATTGCCGAAGGCAGCCGCGCCACCGCCGTTGAATCCAAAGTACGGCGGATAAATGGGCAGCGCGAAATTGGGCGGTGCGCTGTGCGGCTGTGGGACATTGCTGCCGGTGGGTACTGAGTAGCCCGAGGGCAGCGTCAGACCCCCGCCGGGATAGTAGCTGCCATCGTTGGCCTTGCCAGGCTCCGCAGGGGCTGGCTCGTCCGCCAGGGGCTGCGCGGCCGACGGCTTGGGATCCGGTGGCAAATAGTTTTTGGACAGATGGCTAACATCGGCATTGGCCAGGTGCAGGACCAGCAGCAGCCCCAGCACCAGCAGCAGTGGCCATTTGGTCCATGGCATTGTAGGCATCCTTCTAGCGATTCGATCTCTGCGAGTTGTCGGCTCTCGTAGCGCTCTTCAAGCTCGAGCGGGCGGTGTGAACTGTGTGCGGCATTGGCCATGAAGTGGGCCACTTATAAGTGGAAGCCAGAGTTCGCCGTTTACATTGTGATCTAGCAAAACTTACATAAATGTCGTATTTCGTGTCGATTCCATTTCACTTTCGTCTACTTTGCATCATAATGGCCATCTGGGCGATGCGAAGTTCCGTTGTGACTCCAAATCCGAATTTGAACTATAAAAATTAATTAGGCAGCCGGGCAAATTTGTTAAACTGTCACATCTGTTGACCCTACTCTTCCTTCTCCTTCCCACTCCGCCTCCCCCTCCACATCACACCACCCGCCCCCCGCCTCCGCCGCCTGCCCTTCGTCCCCATGGCGCTTCGGCGATTTTGCATACAAAGACTACACGAAACACATTTCTCTCAACAGGTTTGCCTCTTGGCAATTAACAATCCAGTTCCAGTTTCGGCATCGACGCTTTCTATGATATAATAATTATAAATGTTACAATCCAGATATAAAAGAATCTTTTATCGACTCCTATTTATGTTCGATTCTCAATTCAATATTCACAATGCAAATTAGCCTCATAAAATATCCCCCTCACACACACACACACACACAGATCCGAAAACTGTTGGAGATAATGACATAATAGAACTTAACTGTCTGTGTATAAACAAACAAAAGCCGAATGACAAATGATGCCATTCGACGTTGTCGTGTTTCAACTGGACCGATGAGATACCCTACACAATATTTAATTATATTCAAGGGCTAATATAAAAATATTATGTATACAGAATAGGGTATCTCAGATAGCCTTTTACCTCTTAGTTATTAAGTCAAACTGCTTGCGATATACCCTGTATTCTGTCATATAGAAGTCTCTCTTTATTTCGTTATTTGACTATGAGACACCCTGTGTTTGACTGTTTTGCATTTCAGCTGCGATTTGATTTATGAGATACCCTGTACTTAACATAAATATTATTTATGTAACCAACGGTCCTTAAAGCATTTGAACTATGAGATACCCTGCACTCCAATAAAAAGAAGTATTTTATATATATTTTAATTTTTTTATGTTTTACTATGAAGTACCCTGTATTTGACATATAATATTTCAAGCTTTGCTTGAAGTAAAGTCTATACATCGAACTGCTCTTAAGGTATTTTAGTTTTGTATTTTATTTCATTTTATACCCTGAACCCATTGAAAATGGGAAATCAGGGTATAATGGTTTTGTGAAAAGTATGTAACGGGCAGAAGGAGGCGTGGCAGACCCCACAAAGTATATATATTCTTGATCAGCGCGACGAGCTGAGTCGATATAGCCCTCCGTCTGTCCGTCCGTCCGTCCGTATGAGCAAAAGAATCTCAGAAGATATTAGAGCTAGTGAGCTGAAATTTTGCATGCATACTCGTGTATACCATAGGCAGTACAAGTTTATCATATTTTTTCGATAACTCACTCGATAACCTTTTTATCGAGAATAATCGAAAAATCGACATTGCTTTTTCAGTCTAATTTGAACACTTTTAGACCTGGAGACTTCAAATTTGCGTTGTATATAAAGTTAATGGATACAAAGATTCTCCTCAAATTTGTAAAAAACGCTTTTCAAGTACTAGAGATTTGTGCTTTGGAATGTACACACACACATATTCACCATATGATTACGCTCTGAAAGTTTCATTAAGATTGTACGTCTACAAAAGAAATTATTCAACAAATAAATTCTCATAATATTGCCCACACTGCAGCGCAGCCCAAGCGCAGTCGCTGCTTACTGTGCAGTTAGCAGAGCGCAGACTTATGCGTGCGTGTGGATGCATGTGTGCATAAAAGAAGTGCAGAATGATTAGAATATCAGCTTAGAGGTTTCAGGGTATCTCCTAGTCGAGCAGTCTCGACTGGAGCCTTCTTACTTGTTTTAATTCTGAGATATCCTTTACTTGAATTGCTAGGGAGTACATATCTTATCGAAAATCAGGTGCCTTTTGCGTGTCTTAGCTTTGAGATACAATGTAGTCTAAGTCTTACATTTTCCATTTTGTTTTCTTACCGTCCTCAATGTTTAGATCTTTTTGCAAAATATTGTTTTACTATTTGCTCAATATTCGTAATACCCAAAGTAGTATTATTAATGTCAGTAAGCTTTTTAAAAGTGTATTCACTAGGCGGTCATTAAGGTCTCTACAACATTAGTATCCAGTATGCAAAGAGCTTTGCGAGGAGCAAAAGCTAAAGCTTAAAAGCTACATTAAAAGCTCGCATGGAGCTTATTGTAAGCTTGTCTAGATAACTTCTTAGCTTTGAAAGCTCTTCGAGACTTTTAAAGCTTAAAGATCTGCCATGTGACAGAATACACTTAATAATGATTGATTGACTTTGATTGACTGACTGAATGAATGATTATTATTGATTTGCATCTCTGATTCGGAACAAAAGGGAATGTAATTAAATATCTAAAATAAAACCTCTCTGAGTTGTGTTTTTTTTTTTTTTTTAATAATTATATACACACAGGTTGGTAAAAAAAAAAAAAAATGAATAGAATTTATGGTGCAAAAAGCACATTATGGGCTATTTACACTATTGTTGATTCGATTTGGTGAACAGTTTGCAACGTCTTACTTCTTCTTGTAGACATAGCCACCGTTGGCGGCGTACTGGGTGCCGACATCACCAGTCGAGTAGCTACCAGCGCTCAATCCAGTGCTGTAGGTCTGCTGGTAAGAGGGGGCAGAGTAGGAAACCGATGGTGCGGTGTAGGTCTGCTGGACAGCTGGGACGGAGTAGGTCTGCTGGTAGGCTGGGGCAGAGTAGGTCTGCTGGACAGCTGGGACGGTGTAGGTCTGCTGGTAGGCTGGGGCAGAGTAGGTCTGCTGGACAGCTGGGACAGAGTACGACTGTTGGTAGGATGGAGCCGAGTAGGTCTGCTGAACAGCTGGGACAGCGTAGTTCACAGCTTGAGCAGAGTAGGACTGCTGTACGGCCGGAGCGGTGTAAACCTGCTGCTGTACGGCCGGAGCGGTGTAAACCTGCTGCTGCACAGGGGGCAGGTATTCGTTTGTGGGTGGGCGGTAGTTGACAGCAGGAGCCACGTAGGAGGTGCTACCCGTCGAGTAGCTGCCACCACCGGACGAATAGCTCACCGATGGAGTTGAGTACGACTGTTGCACAGGGGGCAGATAATCATTGCTGGGCACCAAGTGGCTGACATCGGCTGCCGCACAGGCGAACAGAGCGAACACAATCAGGAATTTCTGCAATGGACGAGAAGAAGACGTTTGATCCGATTAGGCACAGCGCACAGAACACAATAACAATAACACTTGCACATTAAAAAAAAATGTTATAAAAATTATTATAGAAAAAAAATTATAAAAAAAAAAAAAAAAAAAATAATTCAATGTGAACCAATTTGTGATCGTTTGGTTCCAACGGTTAAGGTGTACTAACCATGTTGGATGGATAGCTACGACTACGACTGTACTGGACGAGCTAGACGTTGAAACTGATGCTGATCCCTAAAGCATGCCGGCAATTTATAGCGAAAAAAGAGCATCACTCAACTTGCAGCACATTTGGAGATGAGGCAGCAGCGGCAGCAGCGCCAGCGACGGGCAGCGGTGCCAGCAGGCAGCAGCAGCGGTAGCGGTAGCGGTAGAGGTAGAGGTAGAGGTAGAGGCGGTGGGAGCAGCTACGTCTGCAGCTTCCACTTAAAATATACACTAAGCGAAAAGAAAAAAACATAAAACCATAAATAAAGGCAAGCCAGAAAAAGCAAAAAACAAAAACAATAAGAGCGAGAGAAAAAAAAAAGCACACGCGTTAAACAAGTTTACGCATTTACAAAACTTTTCCGCAACCTTTATTTATTTTATTTTTTACTTTTTTTGGTGGACAACATTATGATCCAAAGATCTAGCCGGCTAATAGATAGATTTAAATACTAGTTTGTCAACTAATTTTCATACTCATTAGTGCCAGAAAAGGTGAGGGCGAAGAGAGCGACTGAGCGGGAGAGAGAGAGAGAGAGAGAGAGAGAGAGATGGCTAAGGGCGCGCACGAACGAATTTGTTTTGAAGGTCATGGGGTTTTATGGCTTTATGCGAACTGGTCGAATCTGGCAGTCACTCTGACCGCATGGATTCAATTAAAGAAATTAATTGAATTTCAGTTTGACACAAAATTAACAGAAAATGAAAAATTGGAGAAAAAGGAAAGGGTCAAACCATTTGCAGAGGTAAAGCAGCCCAGCGCAGCGCCAGCTCCAGCCCCAGCTTAGCAGACCTTGGCAAGATCAAAGCAGCCCGCATCCCGCATCCCCATGCCAAGAATGCAAAATGATGTGATTCAGCTTGGCTTGGCCCAGTCGCGTTACCATTACGTAGCACTTTCTAAAAAAAAAGAAGCCAAACGGCCTTGAGAACACTGAGCGGACATGCATAGTGATATGCGAGTAGAGCTCACAGCCTTACATAATATGTAGAGGGCATGGGAAGTCTTCGGCGAGTCGGCCCAGTGCGGGAGTCACGGATCAACTTTTACTTCGAGCATGGCCTGCAAAAGTTCATGAACCTGTACAGGCGCTGTGCCTCAGCTCACAACATTTCTTAATCATTGCAGCCTGGAATTGTCTTCGTTTATTTAAGGGCACTCCAACATTGACGGATTGCCATTGTATCCCAAGAGACAGGTCCAAATGAGTCAAGGATTGGCAAGCCTCCTATTTCCATTGAACAGGAAGTCAAACATGATATGTTGACATTGTAATTATTTATCAGAATGTAGGAATGGTTGGTGAAGTTGCGACAAATCGACTCATTAGTAAATTGCCTTGAAAGGTTACGAGCAATATTTACATATGCCAATTATTAACATAAGTTGCCTCGACAACATATATTATTAAGGCAAAGCAAGGTTCTTTATATATTAATTTATATATTAAAGGCATAACATAGTGTTAGCAATGCCAAACAAAAACAAGCTTTATATACATAAATATCATATACATAATATACCTATGCATATACATAATATGCATCGTTGACATCATATACATTGTATTGATACCTCATATCATTACATGCACCATATACATAATATTAATCGTGTACATCATATACATCATATACATTATATACATCGTATACATCATATACATCATATACATCATACACATCATATACATCATACACATCATATACATCCTATACATAATATACATCATACACATCATATACATCCTATACATCGTATACATCATATACATCATATACATCATACACATCAAGTACATCATATACGTTATATAAATCATATACATAATATACATCATATACATCATATACATCTATACATCATATACATCATGCACATCATACACATTATATACATTATATCATGTACATCATAACCATTATATACATCATATCCATATACATCATATAAATCATATTCATCATATACATAATATATATGTACATCATATACATGTGCATTTGCAGTGGCTTAACATTGACATAGAAATGTCGAATTTCTTATACATAATATTAATCTTAATTATATACACCTACATTAAATACATCTACATTATATAGATCTACATAATTCATCACGCAGAGTGCTAACATTGGCATACAAAAAATCCCAACTTCCTCTACATATGCATAGCAGAGTGTTAACATTAGTTACTGAGATTGCATTTACATAAACGCGAACGTCACGAAATAATTAACACAGCTGAATTATGGGTTATAAATTGATATGAGCTAACTAAATGCAGCTCGCTTAAACGGGTTGGGCCAAGTTTAGATTGCTTATTTCGGATAGAAAAATGTAAATGAATTCAAATTGTCTTCAGCTGTGCTTTAGTTATTTCTTAAATGGATCCATATTTAATTTACATTGACTGCAGTTTCATATATCAAATGTGGCAAGAGTATCTCAGCTTCGATTTGTCAGCTGATCAATTCCGATATCCGACTAATTAAAATTAATAGCAGTGCTAGAGGCTCAAAGTGAATCTTCGTTATGAGCGAATGGACCGTGACGAGCTCTGCGAGAATATTGGATTGACATTTCAAATTATAGTTTCATTTAAGATGGTTCGACTGACTATGCTGACCGAGCCCGAGTCCATTCAATTTAAAAGTCGGTAGGTAGATTTCGTTATGAATATTTATTATTCACAAATAGGAGAAGGAACATAGATGTAGAAGGAGAGAGAGACAAATATGGAAAAAGCTAAGCAGCTTAGTAAACATAGCCGCCGTTGGAGCCGTACTGTGTGCCATAGCTGGCGGAGCCACTTGAAGAGGCAGCCTGAGCCGTGTATGTGGGCTGGACAAGAGCGGATACAATCTTGTTGTTGGCTACGTTGGATTCCTCAATGCCATTCGATGTGGGCTCCTGGTATAGATGGGCAGGTGTGACGGTATTGGCACCAATGGCAATCGGCGCCTTCGGCACGCCGTAGGTAACGTGGGCAACGCGATCGCCCTGAGTAATGAACTGTTGCGGTGTATAGGTATTGGCGCCAATGTTGAACGACTGTGTCTGCACTGAACTTGAGACTGATCCCAGATTCTGAGGGATCAAATGAGCTGGCTGGTAGCTGCTGGTATCTGCACCGACAATGAGCTGTGCGGTAGATGCTTGCTGATTCTGAGGAATCAAATGAGCGGGCTGGTAGCTGCTGGAATCACTACCAGGCAGGACTGCTGGGGCCGTTGAGCTGCTGGTGTCCACATTGATAACAACCTGTCCGGTAGCTCCTTGCTGATTCTGAGGAATCAAATGAGCGGGCTGGTAGCTGCTGGTGTCTGCACCGACAATGACTTGAGCTTGTTGATTCTGAGGAAGCAAATGAGCTGGTGTGTAGCTGCTGGGGTCACTACCGGGCAGTACAGCTGGGGCCGATGAGCTACTGGTGTCCACGCCGATAACGACCTGTCCGGTAGCTTCTTGCTGATTCTGAGGAATCAAATGAGCGGGCTGGTAGCTGCTGTTGTCTGCACCGACAATGAGCTGTGCGGCAGCTCCTTGCTGATTTTGATAATTCAAATGAGCTGGTGTGTAGCTGCTGGAATCACTACCGGGCAGGACTGCTGGGGCCGACGAGGATGAGGATGCAGATGAGGATGCGGAGGAGCTGCCATAGGCATAGCCAGAGCCTTGTCCCACGTTGAGCAGGTGACTTACATCGGCGGCCACTAGGCCGACCAAAGCCAAAGCGATAACGCAGAACTTCTGCGATAGACAAGAAAGCCGAAATTCAGTATCAAAATGTTATCGATTCAAGCATTTCACTCGATAAGTGTTTCGTTCTTAGAACTTACCATGTTTAGGGTCTGTAGGCTGAGTTGATCTGTTGTTGCTGGCATCGAGGTATCAAGTTTTTATACGAAAAACTATCGAATGGAACACTATAATGGGGTGCTCTATGCTAATTAACGGTTTATGTTTTACTCGTCTCTATTGTTTTTATAGAAACTCACAAATGAATATATATGTATGTGTATAAATATATATATATATATATTTAAATAAATTCCTAAAGCCCAAAAACAAATTCTCTGGTGGCTTGCTTCATCGTCCAGCTAATAGAAGAGGCGGCAGCGAATCGACTATCAATATGTGTCTATCAGACGTAGACAAAACGACATCCGTACAAAATATTGATTAGAACGTCTCCGACATCTGAACGGCCTCCACTAATTATGATCGCATCTCTCGCCGCACCTTTCGTCACATTAAATATTACTTAAAAATCACAAATTAGCGCAAACTGTTTCATTAATATATAATTTTCATTATATACTGTCGTTTTTTTTCGAGTTCTATAAGCGGCTTTGGGTCGGAAACCAGTTTTCACACGGCAGCCTCCAGTAGTGACAACCTATACACTTGAGCCCAAATCTGTCGACTTCACAGAGCAATAACTGTATTTAGAAACCCAATTATCGCATCTTGAATGGCATTCAATCAATAACTCTGCCAAGAAGAACATCAGCACTGAAGCTTGTTTGCTTTTCATCGCTCTCAAAACTAAGTATACCCAGTGAAGTCGTTTGAACTGTATCAGAAGCTCGCATCTTCGATATTTGAGTGCATTCTATTTGTCGTCTCTGAGTCTGCTCTGGGAGCTCAGCTCTATTGTTTGCATATTATACGAAGATCGACGAGCCACAGTTATACAAAATACGAGTTTGTATTGATATGGAAATAAAACTATTTTGTTATTATTTTATTATTTTTTTTTGTAAATTTTTTTTTATTTTTTTTATGCTAACAAATTTATGCTTAGGTTTTGATTTATCATTTAAATCTATTTTTTATTATTCTTTAATTTAGTTTAGTGTTTTTAAGTTGATTTCTATTATAAATATATAATATGTATGTTTTTGTAAACAAATTTAAGTCATACAAAATTGTTATCTAGCATTTGCTTTCATTTGTTGTTATTGTTAAAGTTACAAACAATATCTTTAGACCTGCTTAAAACCAATATTTTATTAAAATGCAAACAATTTCTTTATATTATAATCAAAATTTTTTAATTCTTTGCTTTTGTTTCTTTTTTTTAAAGAATATTTAAAAATATAATTGTTACATATACATACATATATTTATTTTAGATTTTGATTTTGATTAATTATAATTTTAGCGATTTTGTAATAATATTTATTTCATATCGATTTCTTTGTATTTTATATTATAATATATTGTGATTAATTTAAAATCTAATTTGTACTTATTATAAATTGTATTTATTTCTATTTTTATAAAAAACATATTTATTTGAGAATTATAATTTATTCATAAAATGTCTCAAATTTATTTTGAAAAATCAAATGCAAAAAATTTGATACTGGGCGTAACATAGTTCTATTAGTCTATGAATATCAAACGAAATATGTAATTTATTTACATATAATTGTATTAGCTGTTATGCTCAACATTTGCATATTCACAGGGTATATACTAGTCAAGCTCGTTTGTTAATGGCATTCGTGTTATATATGTTTTCTTACCACATTAGCATTATAATCTACCTGTTCTGTTTTTTTTTTTTTTTTTTTTTTTTTGTATATAGAACTGGTTGATTGGCAATTAAAATATAGTCTTACATTTCGTTTCTGGCAACTTAACAGATTAACTAGTTTTTATTGTTATATAATGGATGACAGAGGCGAAGAGTGAGGGCATTAATTTTCGTGTATGACTTAACATTTATAGAGTCGATGTAACGTAAGGCTTTATCGTTTAATTAGCAATGAATTACGAGTAGTATCACTTTTACTTTCTTATGATTTCTTAAGAAGTGAGTGAAAAGTGAATATGACTTGAAGGCGTGGCAGCTTGGGATTTAAAGAAATCATTTTGATTTGGGAGTATGTTTTATGACTGCTAGTTCTAACAGTTCAAGCCGATAAGCTCGTGTTTGTCGTAAAAGTATCGGAAATTTGTTCTTTGCTAAAAATAGTCTAGAAATTGCTAGAATTGGTTCTACTGATATTCATTCCATTTCATTTGATATTCATAACATTTGAAGATTTGCAGATCAAGATAAGCAAAAATCAGGATTTGATGCCAAGAGCTTAATGTGGGATTAATGGTCATTATGAATGTGAAACTATCATTAGTTTGTTTGCTTGCTCGCATCTTTCTTTCTTACGGCCCGGCTAATAAGATTTAGTTAATATGAGACATTATGTGATTCCGGCTGTCGACTGCATGAATATTTATTATAATCAGCGTGATGGCGGCCCAACTTGTTTTCGGACCGCAAACTTACACAAAAATGCAAATCGTACGCGTCAATCTTGTCACATGCTCACATATTTATGGGCGTCTACAAATGCCAAACAATGAGTTTCATTCAGCTGGACCAGCTCTGGGCCCATTAGATGGCCCAGGGATTGACTCATGATTCTACCGCAGCTGTCACAGCTATCACATAATTATGAAACCAGAAATCCGATGAACTCCGTCGAACGGGTTTCGATTCATCATCATCGACTCTAGGCATATTATTAAGTGAACTATGTTCTCTGTAAAATATTCATATATTAGCTAACGAGCCTGTGGACAAACCCGAAACTTTTTTGATTTTAATTTGCTAATTTTATTTTATGGCTGTTTTTCTTATTTACTAATTTTTGTATAGTTTATGATCAATTTAATATTCTCGATTCTGTTTAGAAGAGACTTACATTCCTTTGTTTCTATCCATAATAATAGACAGCGCTTACTAAACAGGTTCTTTTGAATTTGAGCAGACCCTTAAATAAACCCCCCCAGACAGTATAAATATAGAATAGGTATTATAATCCAATAAAACCGATTATATGTTAACAAAAGCTCCATAGTATACTATTATCGATGTTTCTAGAAACTACATATATATTTATATTATCTTTAAATATATACATTTTTTTATTATATTCAAGCTCCAACAATAGAATATATTTAAATGTCTGCACAGTTTACAGCTCAGTATGGGTGCTGGGAAACACTCTTACCGCTTTGTGGTTTCAGGTATAAGATCCTAATCAAATAACAATAGATGCATATACTATTATGTGGATTTTATTTCATTTCATTTGTAGCTTTCGAGTTATACTATTAAATCGAGAACTAGAACTAGACAGTTAGATGGATATCTATATATATATAACTCTTCATATAAATATATAGATATATACATAGATAGATAGGTAGACATATTGGTACAGAATAGAGTGATAGATAGGTAAACAATAGATAGATAGTCGACAGATAGATAAATGAGCATGTCCCAAGCAATCTTAGTTCTGATCAATAAACTGTAAACTATTCAACCATTGGCAATGAACAAATAGCTCAGTTGAACCAGATCCAGTAGTTGCTCTCTCTCTCTCTCTCTCTCTATACTTATCTATATCTATTTCTTTCTAAATCTATCTATTTATGTATCAAAAAAACAAAAAAGCAAAAAAACACAAAAAATGCTCAATTTAATAAATGCAATTAAATAAATTTTGTTTACTTCTGAGTCAAATAAATGTGCATTTTTTGATATGCCATGTTCTATCTTATTCGTGGAGCGAATATCGTAAATAAAGACCGAAACTTGTTGGGTCTTGGAGACAAGTGTCAACAGCTGACATGATTAAGGCTCAACCAAGCTAAGTAGTTTTTGTGTTTGTCAATGTTGTTGCTGCTTCTTCTGGTACAGCCAGCTTGATTTAGTATAAGAGCTGGCATGATATAGTAGCTGGCTGGCAGACAGGGGACGAGAGTATCTGGTGATCGACATGTGGCATATAAATCTGTGCGTTTATCTATGATCAAAGCGTAAGCATTGATCGGGGGGACCGACTTGAGGTGGCCGAGACAACTGGTAGCCGGCTTTCAATGTTGGCTATGTCAGGCGGCACTTGCCCAAAATTTACCCACTTGTCGGCTTTGTTTGTCTCTGGCAAACACTGCCAAACACTGAGGTCAAAGCAAAACTGACGCTAAACATCGCCGCAAAACAATTGCGGAACAGTTCGCGCATTATTTGCGAGCCGGCAATGAGCCGACTTGAGCTGAGCTGCGCTGAGTCAATTGTAAAATTGCATTTCGAGGCAGGGCTGACAAATAGACGGAGAGGCAGGCAGACAGATACACATTGTACTCACTGTATCACACACTCCAAGCGCATGCCGTATGGCAAATGGCTTTTAACAAGTGTCAAAAAAAAACAAACACATCAACGAAACGCCGGAGTGTGCATATTTATTTGCGACACTCTTGGTAGACGATAAATATTAGCTTACTCTATGGTGTATAACATAGATATTATTATTACATTAAATAGTCGGCGAAGGAAATGAGAAAAATGTTGGGAAATTGAGCTCGCATTCAAGAATATTATCTAATATTGGATATATCTCAATAGCTTAGCAAGGTGATGGTAAATTTTTGATTCTGTTTATTGTTATTCTAGGAACTATAGTCTTAACATCTGAATATTTGCGTCAGATTATCGAAAACATTTTGTTTTAAGTGATTTTAGTTTTTAGTTACAATTATCATATTTCCTATATAGACTCCTCCAATTTTATTTTTTAGTTTTAAATACAAATATTCTCCTCTATTAGCCTCGACTCGACTCCTAAGCTAGCAGAAATTTTGGTAGGCAAATTAACAAGTAAATACCAAAAAATTAACAATATTATCTGGGCATTTCTGAACATGAACTTGTCGCTAATTGAGCCCTTGTATTATAGATTTATATGGGTCAAGTCAAAGTGTGAAGTTTGTATCTACATTATGGGATTATGGCCGGCAAAGCACTTAATTAAAAGACACTTTGCTCAGTTAGCATGGCGCAAAGCAATTGTAGCCAAACTAACCTGAGCTCAGGTAACTATATCTTGTTATTGCTGAATTCACAAAGGGAGGTGTGCATTGCACTGTGTGTATGTTGGCCAAGCGCGAATAGCAATAATGCAACACTCATGCAGCGAGAGAGAGTGGGAGAGAGAGGGAGAGAGGGGGAGAGAGAGAGAGAGGGAGAGAGGGAGAAGGTGGGAGGGTCAGTTACGTCAAGCAATGTGCTTCTTCGGCAAGTACCACATATGCCATGAGATTCGCAAAGAGAGGCGCGTTATTTAACTTCTTTTGTGTGTGTTATTAAAACAAAGCAGCTAATATATGTCGCCATTTTTGTCTCTGTGTAAGATGCAAACATAGTCAGCTACCCCCTCACACCTGTCCTGCCTCTGAGGTGAGTGGCATTGCTAGTGGCCTAAACAGCAGTTACCAGCTATTTAGCTGCTGCTGCTTCTACTGCTGCTGCTGCTGCTGCTTCTACTGCTGCTGCTGCTACTGCTGCTGCT